TTTACGCGAAGTGACGTAAAACTCGGTGAAAAACGCGATATTTGCGGTGATATACAGTAGTCGTGAAATATATTCACTAGTGTTTTTCATATCACTAGGGTGAAACTCCATCATTTTCCACAACGACTCAACAAACTGAGAAAATGACACAAATCGCAATAATCGCCAGATATGCAGGGGTCGTGGAAAAAAGTACAATATTTCCAAGTTGTTTCTCTCTTCAAAAAACTGCACATAAACCCCCCGAAATCTTCCCCCAGTATTACTCTCAGCAGCGTTTCTCGAAATCAATTGCCACAGGAAAAGTAGCAGAAACAATCCTCCTTTAGAATACTGCAACAACATCACTCAGTCGAAGATGCCACTAGATGGATCGGCCGACCGCCCCAGCACGCTGTGAAGCGCCGAAAAAAGTAATGTACACTGAAAATATCTTATGTTCGACCGCCCAAGATACAAATTAGGTCCAAATGAGGCACTTTAACCCAACATCGAGGCATCAGAAACTACATGTCTCCCCCTGACCAGCCGCTATTGCTTCCAACACCATCCACGTGTCGGAACCCTCCGGAGCATGCTTTCGATAAATCCTTCGCAATCGGCTCGCAAACCTATAAAAACGGCTCAGAAGTTATACTTTTTTCGCAAAAAAAAAGGAAAATTTTACCGAGAATTCCCGAGATTTACCCCCAATCCCCCACTACACATTGTCAGGTTCCGTCATAACCCCATAGAGCATACTACTGCCTTGAACTGCCCTGATGAAATGATAAGTACAGAAGTACGCTGCGAATGCTGGTAGTGCGCGGTAATCTGAAACGCTCACCTCATTGTAGTTTCACAAGTTTTACGTAAAGTGGCAAAACACTCTCCTATAATATGCATTACGTTAACATGTTTTGACGTCCATACAGTTTCATCTACAGCATTTCCAGTTCAAATTAATACAAATTGATTCGATAATAATTTATCATTGTGATCTTGTATCATCCAGGCCCTATGAACATTCTAAACTTGTCAATAGCTCTCGTATGCTAGTTCAAATGGTTAAGCTGTCTATCCAACAACTCAGAGGTCTCCGGTTCGATTCCACCACTCCATTTTTATTACATCTCTCCTTTCCACGACTCCATATACCGCCCCACTCACAAAGTCGTATTCCCACTACCGCGCCGAGCACACCAACAACTTTGGCCAGCGTTTCACTAACACCATAAGAAAAATACACCATGCCGGGATCGAACCTCCGCGGGCGGTACTACCGCGATTACTCCTCATGAATCGCGATCCGTTCCAACTGCCCTTCACTGAGTTCTTTCCCTCCGTGAACAGTCAGCTGATCATCAATAGCCTGATGAGATTTCAAAAAGAGTGGTATGAAAATAAACGCCTACTACTACCTTAAACACTTTATCAACGCTCTCAGTTTCAAACCATAGAAACTTCATCATTCTTCGGAAAAAACTTTCCGACGGCCCTTCAGCATCACACATTCGGAAAAAGGACAAAAACGGACCTATTCTGTATCTTCCTCGCTCAACCTCAAGATACCACCTCATCGTTGGAAACAATACTATCACATAAACAACCAGCTGGTAAAATCTAAACGGTCGAACTTCCTCTCGAAATTCCGAGCCTGAAATAGTGAAAAAATCGTCCCATGTAAAACATGACAAATTCAGTTATTTTTGTACACTTCATAACTCATCGGTACGAGTACAATTCGAAAGTGGGGGAGAATATGCACATCTTTATCAACATTTTACGCAATTTTTCAATGTTCTACCCATTTTGTCAACGTCTCACTATTTTTTCCCCATATTTACCCCACTTCCATGAAATTTTACACATTTTCGATATTTTACTCAAATTTTGCTAATATTTTACCCATAATTTTGATGAAATATCAAACAAATCAATGCACTATCTAGCCTACTTGAAAGCCTAGACCCCTCCAATATACTACCCGTGATCACAGCAAAGTGAACCTGGTGTTCATCCATTTCCTCAGTTCAGAGGCCGTCAACTCCCCCTTAGAATTCCTATATCCTACACCAGTACACAGAGCTGAATATATGTATTTAACTTCGTCATCACGAAGCGTTATACTGGTAAGTTGAGCTGAGAAACATGATCATCATGCACCGTCACGCGCCACGAAATTACACCAACCGAATGAGTGACCCTATGAGTCACGTGCCACGAAATTACACCGATTGAATGGAAAAGGCCCTGCTAGGTCTATAAAGAAACGTCACGCGCCACGGAATTACAGCAATCAAGTGGATAAGCCTTGCGGGGTGGAGGAGAAGGAATCGTCACGCGCCACGAAATTACGCTCTTTGAATAGTGAGCGGTGCTGAAACCTGTTGTCTTAACTTGAAACGTGCCATAGATGCACATATTGGCTTTTCACCCGTTTTACGTGAAGTGGCGTAAATCTCGGTGAAAAACGCGATATTCACATTCTGCGGCGGTCGTGAAATATATATTTTTCACTAGTGTTCTTCATATCACTAGGGTGAAACTTCATTATATTGAAATATATGTTCGCTTTCGCTCAGGAGTGTTTTTCACAAATTGTAGGAATTCCCCAAAATTTCCTCAAAAATTTACATATTTTCCCATTCATAAATCAAGACTGATGCACTTAAAAATTCTACACCAGTCAGATTTTGTCGCGCGCCACGAAATTACATGTCATAGCAGCAAATTCCTCTCTAGTCATTCCTCTCGAGGGGTCGTCCACTGCAAAAGCCTCATAAATTCGCTCCGCATCGTTATCAAACTGGAGACCAATTTCACGCCGAATCTGAACAACCATATCTCATCACCCGGAATTGGGAAAGTTACGGTACTCGATTTAATTTCCGAGATTTCGAAAATCCGACAGCACCGGTGATCAGCCCGACTAGGAATGTATAACCACCCAACAGCCATGCACCAGCAGTCCTGAAAAGAAAAAAATGTCACCACCGAGAATCGAACTCGAGTGGGTGGCAACTAAATACACAGAGCATGTAGTTATATATAAAAGGATATGTGTTGGAAATTTACAATAATCAAAACGCCTACAGTAACTATACTTTTGCAATAACAATTGCACAGTAGATGGCGTCTAATCTTCAAAGGCGTACAGTTTACAAAACTTTCTTGCTTATTAATAACATTACTCAAAAACCTCACTTGATGAAAATTGCATTAAGTGAGATTTTTATTAAGAATCGATCTGAAACTATATCGTCAACATTGCTATGAACATGTGATGTGATAATGGTAACCTTTCGAGACTATGATAGCGACAAGTTGTTCACTATCATTAATCCCAGAATAGAAAACGCACATTCTTCGCATCTGTGTTGGAGGAAATTTCAATGAAAATCGATCTGAAACTATATGGTGAACATTGCTATGAACATGTGATGTGATTAAAATAACCTTTCGAGACTATGATAGCGACAAGTTGTTCACTAAAATAACGGACGTGTAACACAGTTTCACGCCTCATAAGAAACATTCTTTCGCCAGCAAACAGTGTTGGAATATATTTTCGTAAGTTCATATACAAATTCGGGTAGAAATGTTCAGAAAACAAAAATAATTTCCTAAAATTTGCATATTATCACCATCACAATATATCCCACGCCTCTGCCGAGAATCGAACCGGCGACCTTTCGCATATTACCAGCATTTATTAGCTCTCATACTTGAGAAGACTGCTGATCCCAAATACACATACCATAACCCTTTCCCCGTTATTCTCATCAATATCTTCAAAAATCCTTCCGCAAACTCCTGAGAAAAAAATCTCAATTTTCCGCGTAAAGAATCAACTGCTAGGATCATCATCCCACACAAAAACCCCAAAAATTTCCTTTTTTTCGGATTTTTTTTTCATTCTATGGAAATTCTGATAGATTTTTATTGGTTTCTGTACATTTCCACCGTAAGTCGTGTGTAAACTTCGACATAGCACGAGACTTCAATTTAAATGAATTTTCACCCATTTTACGTCAATTGGCGTAATTCTTCATGAAAAACCGCGATATTCGTTGAAATATATTTTTCACTAGTGTTTTTCCTGTCACGGGTGAAGCTCCAATGTACCTTTATACACGTACATTTGATGTACGTAATTATAGAAATTTACATACAACTTTTTTCCCAAAATTTCCTCAGAACTTTCATATTTTTCCCACTCCCCCTCTACTACTCTTAATTCCACAGCCACCCGAGTGCTCGTTGGTAGATCGATAGCCACCATCATAACAGAAAACATTAGCAAGAAAAAGGCTTCCAAAATACTCAACAAAATCAGCGGGTGATAATACAAAACCTGACCAGAAACGAATAATCATCAAAATTATCTCGAAAAATTCGCTAAAAATTTTTTTCTGATTTTTCAGCACGCTATGATGAACTTTTTAAGATATAGGCGACCAAAAATTTCCAAATTAATTCGGAAATTATTTTTTACCCGATTTTTAACCACGCTATGGTGAAACGTGTCCATTTTAATGTTTATATATTCATAGGCGCGCTAAAATTCTTACATAAATCGGAAAATTTGCAAATATTTTTTATCCGATTTTTCAACACGCTTGGATGAAGCCTGTCCGTTTTTATGCTCATTTATTGAAGTTTCACCCGTTTTACGTGAAGTGGCGTGAAACTCCGAGAAAAACGCGATATTCGCGCCTTGTAATAGTCGTGAAATATGTTTTTCACTAGTGTTTTTCATATCACTAGGGTGAAACTCCATTCATAGGCGAATGAAAATTTCACCGGCGTAAAATTCCGTACATAACATGAAAATTCAATTCCAATAAAAAAATTTTTTTAATATTTGTTTTTTACTCTAATGATGAATTAGAGCACAGGTGTCGGAATTTATGTTCGATTTCCACAGCTGAGCTCGGGAATTTCCTCACGAATTCGTTTAGAAAAGTACAGAAACCAATGAAAATTTCCTAAATTTTCCACAGAAGTCAGCAACACATGTAGTTAACCATATGCATATTTTGCCACACTTCTCACATGCAGTAGGTTCACGACTGCCGCCACGAATACACTCCCCGCTCCCGAAGATAACAGTAAACTCAGTGTCATCGGATTTTCACTATAATTCACCGCTAAAGTAGTCACTGCTTCAACAGCCGCCGTAGTCACTTGCCCTACATATAATACCAAAATTATCATCGATTTGCGATGACCAATCAGCTTTGATCTTTACTCTCCAATGTGGTGAAAATTAGTGTAATACACATTAACACAAAGGAACGAAAAAAGTAAATTCTTCGTAACAGAGGTCAAATTCTGCGGAAACTTTTATCGTTTCGATTTACTCATATTCTAGGTGAAAAAATCCAGAAAATCTATGAAAAACTTCGTGTATTGTGGTACAGATGAAAAAAAAGAAAAACTTTCATCGTATTAAAAGTGAATTCTTTTGAAAGCCAACCAAGACGAGTGGCTGAAGAAATCCTTGAAAAATTTGATAGGATATTCACGAAAAATAACACTGCTTCGAAAACACGATATAGAGCGAATTGAATAATTTCGCAAATTTTATCGGACAAATCCCCACATTTCACGTAAAACTCGCGAAGTGAAATGTAAAATGTGTTTTTTTATATCATGAGTAACACTGCTGATCAAGATGAACGAAAATAAATCCAAAAATTGAAGTTTCACCCGTTTTACGTGAAGTGACGTAAAACTCGGCGAAAAACGCGATATTCGCGGTGATATGCAGTAGTGGTGAAATGTGTTTCTCACTAGTGTTTTTCATATCACTAGGGCGGTGATATACTAGTGACTCCATTGATATGAACAGTTGCTCGCGACTTGTACGATAACTCCATTATAGTACCACGCTCAGTTGACATCTCCTCGTTGCCAAGGCCCTCCTCAGTGTCCACTTTTATGAAGCCCTCAGCTGCTGGGTTGGACGGATGACGATCCACTGATGATTCAGATGAACTTCGGAGTAGCATAGGGGAAACTGTGCAACTAAATAGCACATGGTCAACTACATGTGTTGGTGACAATCTGAGGAAATTTTGGTGAATTCTTCCGTTGGTTTTCGTTTATTTTGACCCTAAGTTCTATAGATACGATCTCGAGAGGGACATTCTCTTTACCAGACTGATACAGCAGTACGGACTTCGGCAGCTTTAGCCGCTAGTAGCCGCTTCAAGCCATTCACCGGGCTTCAAGCCCTCGAAGTCGAAAGTTTCATCAGGCTCATCATCACTGACATCTACATTACCACCGGAGACACCTGCACACAATCCTTGATACTTAGCCTGTCCTTTAGCTAGCTACTTAGTCTTGCTAAATACTGCTGTATTCCCCTATTGGGAGAACTATATTGTTGCGTTTATCACGGCTCCTACAACCGAGGTCCTCATGAGCTGGAGAATTAGGCGCATTCTTACCAACAGATGGACGATGAACATACTCGAATACCTTGTGATTGTTACTCTGGTAGGTTACGCATACTGACGACACCCATTTTAGCCAGCGGTATCCAAGTGACTTGAAAGGACTTCTACCGTCATCGGAAATGTTATACACAATTGTCTCCTGTAATTTTAGATTCTTGTGATGCTTGTCTCCCTTGCTAGTCCAGCGTATACTACATGATTACTGTTGAGAATCACTTGTTAATAACTCTTGTTGAGTTATATAATCTTAGCACTTACTACTGCTGCTATGATCAAAGGAAGACGAGGAAGAGCAGTATTAAGTTCAGTACTAACAACTTCAAGTGTATCAAACCGATATCACTTTCATCACTACAAGCACTGCTATTTCAATATTTGAATAATATTATAATGAAAAACAGACCTTGGGCTTCATACCTTGAAGGTATTACCTTCGGACGTCATAGACTCCCGAAGGAAGCGACAGTAGCTATGCGAGTCATGGCACGCCCTCCCACTAGCAGTTACACATATCAGTAAGACTGAAAGCTCCCCAAGTAAGATGAAGAGTCTGGTCGAGCGACTCTATCTTAAACAAGACAGAAACAGTGTTTATTGGAATATAAAACTCTGATTACGATCTCGCCAACTCGCGCTCTGAACAGTGGAGAAGCGACGCCAGCAGACTGTGGAAACCCACCGAAAAGACCAACCCTCAAGCCCGTTGAGGAAATGCAAGTGATCAAGATTCTTCTAGATGAGAGCAGCACCGCACTACGAAGATTCTCAGTCTCCGTTTTCCAACTCCCAAAGATTTCCCTAGTCGCAGTGCATCCCGCGGAGAGCAACGCTTTTGACGACTTGGACGATTGCATTGACAGAGTTTTGGCTGAGGGAGATGAGGAAGCGCCGCAGGTAGGGATAGTGTCGTTTTTGCTGAGCTTTCCAGGGTCCGGAAGTAGTTCATAGGGTGATGTACAAAATCCAAGGATGAAGACAAGTCGAAGGGTAAACCCAAAACCCCACCCGAAACTCGACAAGGCAACCAGAAACCCGAACTGCTGAGAGCGAGCGACGACCCTCCTTGGATTTTGTCGTTCTTCCTTGGATTTTGTAATTTACCCGTAGTTCATATCTTGAATGGTTTTCGTACTTCCTCGTGATTGGAATTTCATTGAAGTACTTGAAGCTTTCAAGAACTAATTTTGGAAATGCACGTGACACTTATGATCCCTACGAAACGGCAGCCCGAGAGGCGGCAAATACAACAAGTCCTTTACTTCGCTCCGCCGTGCCATAGCTCAAGAGCTCTCATCATGCTTTGTTGATCCCTTTCTTGTTCACTCTGCTGTGACCCCGTCATCAGTCCTCGCCAATTTCACTACTATTTCGTTTTTGCCAGCTGTTTTTATCCACCAACTAAGTCAGTTTCCTAGCAGTCGCGTTCAGGGTCTCAAAGAATCGGCCGAAGAGGCACTGATAGCCGAGATTGCGCCTAGCGCGATATGGGCGATGACGATGGCATTGACACTCCCCAGCGTGATAGTCTGCCTTCTATTCTCCGATATAGGTGAGTTGGTTATCCTCCTTGACTCTCTATCGTGCAACCCGGGTTCGATTCCTTGTCATCACTTTAGGTTTTGGAGTCGATGTATACAACGTTCTCTACGACTTCGAGACTCTCTCTATCGCGCTTTATTCCATTCTCATCGCCTTGTGCATCTCGCTCTTCCTCTGCGATGTTCAACGGTGGCAACTTTGGCCGAAGCTCGGCGCGTGCGTGATAGGTAGTGTAAGGTCTACTACCACTTCAGTTTTATTTGAATTTCCGTAGGTTGGGCACTTTTCGTCTCAGCGACTCTGCTGAACGGCACGTCGTACCCCCAAGGGCCGCTCATCGTGGGACTCCTCCACGGTCCTGTCCTGCTGGGCGTCATAAGGTGAGTATTTCTCGATATGAGCGGCAATAGTTTCCCGTTTGTCTGAATATAAGCTCGCTCTCCTCAACTGAACTCAGAAATTCCCTCATCACATAAATTGGGTAGAAATGTACAGATATTTTTTCGGAATTTTCATCTTGTTACATGCACATCTTTCACAGTGATAATT